GTCATGGCATTCATTTATTTATTTATTTATTCAGGACAGTCCTGATATCATACTTGTAGCTAAGACGCTAACACAACATCCCACCTCAATATAATCTTACATAGAGCGTGACATCACTTGTAACCTCCCACTAAGTTTCTATTAAAGCTAATAGTTAGGCTATTGTACTGTGTTGAGCGAAGCAAAGTCCGAAAGCATAGATGGTTGAGGCAAGAAATCATTTTCATTTAAGTTATAGAAATATATCTGGGCCATAAAATGTAAATGAATGCCGCTGCAGGAGGACATGTTGCTTGATCTGTGGGTTTCCTTCATGAATCAACTTTTAAAAAAAGTACATTTAATACAAACTCTTTAGAAGTAACTAACGTTGATCTTCAAACGCTGGACAAATTGTTCCGTTTTAAAGAGATCCGGATTCACAAGGTCAGCGCTCCCCTGAATGGTGACTTCATTGAATGCAGCGCTGCCTTATCTGTCACTGTGTTATCTCCACACATTGTGTACATTTCATGCACCGCTATGTGTGGGAATCTGGATGAGTGCGATCATTGTTCCCCTGATCTCTGAACTGTCGGTCGCTTTCTCTCTTTACAGGAACCACATGTGTGGTATTTACCTGCACCTTTTTAAAAATGTTTTATTTGATCCAACCTATCTTCTTCTTTTGTCACTCCTCAATCCCATAACCATTAGCCGATTTGCAAGCGACTTGGATGTCTTTCCTCCGTTGCAGCTCTTTCTGCTCTCGTCCAACTAGGAGGAAAAACTGACCACCTTCCAGGCAGCGGCAATGATCATGAGCCTGTGACATCTTTTCCTGGCGACCACTAATGTTGGATTGGTCACGCTTCGGGGGAGTAAAAACCTGGCTGTGTTGGTGCTGTGACTCAGGTGCTGAGGGTGCCCCCTAGAGACAGGGGGAGTCATTACTCACAGTCCCTGATGAGGCTGATGATGCACAGGCTTTTTTTTTTTCCTGCTTTTTTTTTTCCAGTGCTCTTAAGGTCCTCTCACACACGCTCCATGAAAGAGTATTGAATCCTTGTCCTCCTGCACATCGAAGCATGGCCGGGAACAGCATCCACGCATGGCAACGCCAGCCCAACAACCATCTCCTAGCAACGCACGTCCTCTGCCCCAGGAGGAATCTGGAGGTCTCTGCTGTAGTCACACCATGCGTTTCCTGGAGGGCAATCAGCTTTTCCTCGTCGCTTCTCAAAGCTCCCTCGCCTTTGCCCAACGTCTCGCTGCTTCTCGCATCCAAATACTTCTTTTCGACTGGCTTGGCTCCTTCGGAAGTGGGGTGAAAAAATAACAAGCCCTCGAAATTTAAGACAACAAAAGCGGGGGAAAGTAAATTGGCTCGAGTTTTTTTCGTAACTGCTCGGCAAAGTGAACAAAAAAATGATTACTTAAAATGGTATTTTGTTTTTGTCAATTTCATTCACTTGAATTCACATGGCAACGTATTACTGATACATAAAATATCTAATGTTTGTAACAATCGAATGTATCTCGCCAAAAGAGAAAGTTTCCTGTGACCTTGCGTGACCTTTTTGGATTTGCCTTTAAGAAACGAAAAAAAAAGACTCAACTCCGACTCAATGAGCCCTCGTGCATCGTGAAGGTACCTAACAAAACGTTTCCCACTCCGTGCGAGTCCCCTTCCTCCCAGCCCCATCACCACAAACCCCCGTTCCCACAGTATTCCCATGACTCTCAGCTGCCCCCCCCCCCCCCCTCGTCTCTGCCCTCGAAAGGCCCAGAATTTACCGAAAAGGGGGAGGGCTGCGTTGGGGAACAGCGAGGCGCTCTAACCCCCCTTCCTCACATCTGAGAACCTCTGTGAAAACCTAATCCCCAGAACAGGGAGAAACGCGGGCCCAGCTTGGCTGACCCCCTTGTTGGCACGGATACAGCGCACTATAAATAAAACCAAGGGGGGCCTTTTCTTTCTTTTTTCCTTCCCAAGCAGTTGGGGAGGGGTGTGTGGGCAGCTCAACTGGGGGGGGTTATTTTCTTCCTCCCTCCCTCCCTCCTTCACTCTCCCTCCCCTTGTTCCGTCTCTCCTCGCTCTCATTCTACTCCCCCTTTCACTCATTCCCTCAATCAGCGAGCGTCCGTCCTCTTCCTCTGTTCCCGTGCTTCCTTCCTCCCCTCGTCCCCGCTTGCTCGTTCAATATTTCCATTTGACGCCTTTTGACGAAACCCGGACCACCTGTGCGTGGCGGTTTAACGCGTTGGCGTTCAAAACTGAGAAAGTAAACACACGGACGGCCCACTCGGACGAGTTCAATCTATCGAGCAAACGCAGAGGTCAAGTTGGTTAAAAAGTCTCGTTGATTGTTGAAGACGAGGGAGGAGCGCGCGGCAGATTTGATTCTAAAGCGAGGCACATCTTGGGAGGCTGGAAAATAATTTGGTCACGGCTGTGGGAGGCGTGTGGAGGGAGAGGGTGCGGGGTGGGGGGGGTTTGACCGTCTCGCTGTGGTGAACGAAATGCTTGACACTTCATTCCTCCCCAGTTAATGTGGAGCGTACTGCAGGATGTTAACCCCTTAGCCGGCCTTTTGATGCTTGGTCTCCACCTCCTCCCCCGACGCTTCCTGCTGAGGGGCTGAAACTTTGCCGTTGGCCGTCCGCGGAGGGCCACGGTCCCGCCAGTCGCGCGGGTGCGGTTACAGTATCCATCGTTTCCTGGTATTCCGTCGACATTAGCTGAGTGTAATGCTGCGAGACAATATGACAGGCCCGCTGTGTAATTTTCAGAAGCTGTCATGACGATTTGAAAATTTGACCATCATATGCCAGATACTCTTTGTCTGGGGTAATTCTGAAGCGTAAGCTGCGTTTCCCGCACCATCTGCCTCGTATGAATTACACAAAAGACGCGACCGGCACCGGCAAACGACCACGACGTTGCCTGGGAGACAGAGGTCACAAGAGAGGGTGAGTCACAGAAAACCCAGAACTACCGAGTGACCCACAGTATCGAACGACCCCGCCGCCGCCGTGCTCTTTACAGCGTGGCGGCGTGCAGGCCGGTTGGTGTCGTGTCAGTGCGTAAACAACAGGGAAGACGGTGCCCTTGGCAAAAGGCAAGTAAACAGTTAAACTTAATGGGGCCAGAATGTGACACCTCAATAAGAATCCACTTCAGTCGCAGTCACTGTCTTTTACTAGCTACACACACACACACACACACACACACACACACCTGGCCTTGTGTGTACATCAACTTGTGTCTGACCATGGGTCTCCTGCTGCCTTGTGTGTGTGTGTGTGTGTGTGTGTGTTCCTGCAGACCTGGGGAGTAGGGAGTTAATGCAGGCAGGGCTGTGGCAGTCCTCCTGCCCCTCAGCCAGATTAATCATGCAGGAGAGACACAGCAGGCCCCCGTTCATTCTGCCTGGGGGTGAAGCTGTGCCCGCATGCTCTCCGTATCACATGGCCCCGGCCCCCCACCCCCCCACTGCCTCCCCTCTCCTCCCTCCTCTCTCTCCACTGAGAGGAAGGGGGGGGGCTGTGGATGGGGTTGATGGGGCTGGTGGCCGAGGAGGCGGAGGGGGTTATTGGCAGTGTGGTGGAACGCCACAGCACGCAGTATAGCTTTTCTTTCCCTTTTTTTCTTCTTTTCTTTCCTCTCTTCCCCTTTTACTCCCCCTTCTGTGGGTGCGAAGCGAGTGAGGCGGAGAAGAGAAAAAAAGAAAAAGAAGAAGAGAAAAACAGGCGTCCGTCTCTCCTGCGAGGAGACAACAGCCTCTCTTTCATCTCCCGTCGGAGGGCCCTGACGACAGCAGCCGCCAACCTCGGTGGATGAAGGGGAGTGTGTGTGTGTGTTTGTGTGTGCGTGTGGGGGGAGGGGCATACCAAGGGACTTGCCACGGATGTCTCATGGAAACTTCTTTGACGATGTCTACGCGCATCAGAGGACAGCCACGGCCATCGTTGAGCTCATCGGGAAACAGTTATCCAGGCGGCGTCACACAGGGGCGTGTTGCAGCATTTTGCAGTGTGTTGCACAAGCACATACAGTGTGTGTGTGTGTGTGTGTTTGCATTATAGGGACATATGATTGGTTTTGTCTTCAGGAGAAGCATCCTTCTGTCCATTTGATTGTTAACTATATGCGCTTTATTTATTTACCAGTCAAAGCAAAATTTTACTTTTTTTTAAACATAATAGCGACACTATCCTCCTTCACACACACACACACACACACACACACACACACACACACACACACACACACACACACACACACTCAATCCATCCCAACAGGTTTCAAATGAAGCATTTAAAGTATATTTTTGTTGTAATTTTGTTTCACTTGGATGTCATCCAAAAAAAGAAGACCCAAAGTTGATGAACCGCTATGCTGCATACAGTATTTGTCCTACTTCCTTTCAATAAGGCTCAAATTGTAAAAGATTATTGACTTTGGCACATTGAGGTTTTGTTTAGCTTGTTCTAACTAATAACAGTTCTAACAGGTAATATGACTACTTTCTTCTCTGTGACATTATTGATATATCATTATTGATAGTAAAACATATGGGATTAATACTCAATCTGTCTCTCATCTGACAGCAAATAGTTCCTGGGACAAAGGTGTCCTGATAGCAGATACATTAATAATCATTCTGCCACTGTAACGCAGCAGAGGGCCTTTCTCATTTCATTACTGTGTGTGTTACGACGTTACGAGTGACGCTTTTGTTCACCCCATTGAGCTGATTGGTACAGATCAGCCTGCTGCCAAACATTAGCTGAGGTAACTGAAAAAAAAAAATATATATATATATATATATATATATATATATATATATATATATATATATATATATATATATATATATATATATATATATAATTTTAGCATTGGCAAACATTTGAATTTCAATCCAAAGCTTGGGAGCAGAGTAATAAGAAGCGTTGGGGCCGACGTGTGGACCTCGAGTTTTACACTGGAAAAAAAAACTACACAACAAGAAAAGTACTCTAAAGATACAAAGTGTACAAGGTACAGAATTTTATTATTTCTTTAATTGCACCATAAAAGCCTGATAACAAATGTCTCTCATTTTACAAATGAACATCGCAGTAATGTTAAAAATTCCATTACAAAACATTTCTCCCCGTAGAAAATATATATTTTTTTCAAAATTGGAAAAAGTACAACCAAGCATCTTTAAAATAGCACAGGAAACATCGCAGAGGAGCCGGCTGGTTTGGCGGCGGCTGTCTGACTGGATCCGCTGGGAGTGACAGGCGATGATGCATTTGGCACGGCCTCCGGCCCGCGACAGGTCGCAGCGAGGCTCCGGCCAGGTGGCAGAGTGAGACATACATTGCATTGTGACAAATAAACAAACCTAAAGTATTCCCAAGGAGGAGACAGCAAGAAGAAGGAGGAGGAGGAGGAGGAAGACCCCACTGTGCATTATTCTACCCCATTATGCCGGCCCATGCCCAGTCTTTTGTCCTGGAACCACTCACACGTGTGTCTGCATATGAGCTCATGCAAACGGTGTTGGAAGCGATAAAAATAATGTAATAATGGTAAGTAAACAATATGGTGTGTGTGTGTGTGTGTGTTTGCACACTTTATTGGACATAAAAACATTAAAAAAAAAAAACATTTCTCTTCCCGCATGTTGCGTGGAAAGCATAAAAAAAATATCAAACGAACGCACACGACAGACATCATTTACCTGCAAATAAAAGATACATACACATTTTGATCAATTGCTTTGGAATCCCGCAAAAAGTGTTTACTTACTGAAGCTTCCACAAAAAAAAAAAAAAAAAAAAGAAGAAATACAGCAAGAAAAATAGAACATTCAAGGATCCCCATTGCTGTGCTTTGGGAGTGATGTCGCCATTGTGAACCGTTCCCTCCTTCCTGTGTCTCTCCTCCCATCCGGCCCCCGGCTGAGGCTCCACCTCGGGCGGCCGCCATTGTTCATTGAGGCCTCGTTTGATTCGCCGGGATGCGTGAAGCGGCGTGCGAGGATTACCTGACAGTGGGAGTGGTCTTTAGACGCAAGTGGCCGGGCTTGTTGGGCAGGGGGGGCTTGACGCCGCGAGGGGGCGACGGCGTCTGCGCCGGGCCGCCGGGGCTTTCGGTGCTGAAGGTTTTCATCAGCTGGGCCACCCGGCCGCGCCCCGCGCAGGCCGCCGCCGCGTTCCCCGACCACCCGCCCCCCCCCGGGACGGCCCTCCGAGGCGCTTCTGATGCAGCGACATCTGGAAGAAGAGAGGGTCGGATCTGCTTAGTATGCGGGGCCACCTGACAGAACACACTTATTCACCTCGCCTCCTCATTTTGACTTCCATGGAGGGCTTTTGGTGCACAACCATCGCTTCATTAGCATTTTCTCTCATGGCGCGTTTATGGGACGGTTTTCTGGGCTGCCCCCCTCCCCCCACCCCCGGAGGGAACATTGGTGACTGTAATCCGCAGAGTCCAGCAGCAGCTGGAAAACACCTTCAGGGAACACGTGAATCCAGGTGGAATCCCGGTTTGACGCCATTAACCGTGAACAATGAGAGTTACGTGTTTAACACGTGCTATCGACGCAAATGGAGGAATCCAGTCGTTCCGCACTGGCACACAAGTTTCGGTCTATACTGCGACGCTATTTTCCAGCTCACACTTTTCTACCTGCTTCATTCTCCTTTTCATTCGCTGTGGCTGAGCAGAGGTCATCCTCGCTGGAGGTGCAGGGACACAGCTGGGGGTAGTTGGTGTGTGTGTGTGTGTGTGTGTGCGCGCCTGCTGAGGTACTGCGTTTTGGTAGAGGGTGTAATTGCGGGAGGAATGGAGGGAACAGGAGTAACTGGGGGGGAGAGTCGAGTGGGGTGTGTGGGAAGGGGACGGGGGGGGGGAGCAACAGGGACGGCAACGGAGAGCAGACAGACGCTGCTCAGACACCAGAAGGCTCGAGGAGCCACATATTTTTAGCGTCTTTCCGGGGGATGGAGATATGTGAGAGCGCCCGCGTGCACGGCTGCAGACGCACACAAGCTCCCGCACACACACACACACACACACACACACACACACACACACACACACCTTCTAACGGTTGAATTGAAAAGACGCACGCATGGCTTCATGTTACATTCAGCTCCGTGCATGCTCACACACAAACACGCACCGCCGTCCTGCTCATAGAGCCGGTCACGCATGGAGCCGTCTCTGACTAACGCCGCGGTATGAAACACACACACACACACACACACACACACACACACACACACACACACAGGCACCCCCGGGGGCCGGGAAGCCTTTAAAGCTCTTGATGTCTTGAAGGCATGAGAGTGGGAGACCTTAAAGTTGCCTTTAAGCTCTTGTTATTGTTTATTGTTGTTTACCGTCTCTCTCTCTCTCGCTTTGTGGCTATGACACCTCCCTCCACCTTCCCCCTCCCCCCCGCCTTGCCCTGCCCTCCTCTGCCCCCTGACCCGCAGTTCCTGTGTTAATGTCCTCTCGCCGCGCTGCGTGGGCTCGCCTCTGATTGTCTCGTTGTGTTGTGTGGTCACCACGGAAACCTTGGACGGGCTCCAGCAATTGAGGCTGAGACACATTCAGGCACGCACAGAGACACACACAGACACACACACACACACACACACACCCATGGTCAGGGAGTTTTTTGAGCTCAGAGCCTCGGTGCAGGTCTGAGTGGAATGCTTAATAGCGTGAGAGAGAGAGAGAGAAGAATTGGCCTAGTGAGCTTGGACTGTTGTCGAGAAATATTACAAATGTATAAGTTGAAATACATAAATGATATCGGAAGTAAAAACCCTAATACCCCCCCACAGGTAACCGGACTAACCCGTCTTAACACGCCTAAACGCTCCCACGTTTTTCCGCTGCGGCTGCCCTCTTCGCCGTGTCAGCAGAAAGCGGCATTAAAGCTACCTGCGAAAACACGCACTGAAACGAAAATGGAATCGCTGCATTAAATCACTCGCTGAGATTGATTAATCTCCCATTTGGGGCCTTTTTTTCTGGAAACGCTTCTCCTCACATCTCAGTCCAACTCGTAAATGTACGGGAGGACAAAGAGGAGGGGGGCGGGAAGCACTGTCACTGACCGGGCTAGGACGCCAATCCAAGACCAATCTCTCTCTCTAAAGACCTCCACGTCTCTGGCCGGGGGGGGTCTTGGGTGAGGAGGTGTGTGTGGGGGGGGGTGGGGGTGGGGGGGGGTAGGAGTGAGACACAGGGCAGAATTCCCGAGCAGCATGTCTGTGGACTGAAGGGCAGGGAGGATAAGAGGGGTGTGTGTGTGCGTGTTAAAAGAAGCACGGGGCTGGGGGGGGGCTCCTGTGTGGGGGCTGGGGCCCCTGTCACTTATCAGCTCTGGCTGAGCGTCGCCCAGGGCTAGAGTCGGGAAGCGGCGCAGGAATGTGTGTCCTTCCCTCTGAAGGTGAAGAGAGAGGAGAGGAAAGGAAAGCCGACCGACCGACAGAGAAGAGTTCATAAACATGAGCGAGCGCGCGCACACACACACACACAAACGCACACACACACACACACACGCACGCACGCCGCCGGAGAGTGATACTCACTTTCACGGTGACGCGTCCATCCTAAAACCCTCCCTGTCTTATCGGAGAACGAGCCTTCGTTGGGTTAACACAGCACACGGGTCGTCAGGTGACCTCCGCTCGTCTTTTTGTTTTTGCAGATTTATTTTTTTTTAATCTGAGAAGAGCTTTTTGTAAAAGTGTGGGTCGATTTAAACAGCAGGTTCGGCTGGTTTGTATGCGGTTTTGTCTTTGATCTGCCATGTTTCCTGCTGAGCGAGGACACCGATCCCTTTACAGTAAACAAGGTCCTCGCGTCACAGAGGACGCTTCAGGTAATAAACACTGAACAGAGAACCAAAGTGAGAAAAAGAAATTAGTAATTACGAGTTACAAAAACTGTTTTGACGTATTATTTGGATCATTTGTTTTAGACTCTAATCAAAAATATCTTAAAGCTGGTAATGATATAAAAACAACTACACAGCATTTATGAAGTGAAGAATCTTGAAAACCTGAAAAGATCTAGATAATTCTTGGTGACACTTGCTGCGCTTTCTGGTTGGATTAAAACATTTCGATGTGGTAAATGTTGACATTTCATCATTTTAAAACTCGATGGGCGAGAGATCACGTCGCTACAGATGAGCGACGCCCTTTCGGGGTTGAAGGGAAATTCTTCCTGCTCACAACAACTTCATGAAATACCAAACGGGGAAGAGTTCCAGAAAAGGTGCAGTCCATCTCCAGCGGGCACTTGATCACATGAGTGTAAATGAGTGTTTTACGAACGTGGATTATTAAGTGTTGCGTGCGCTCACAGGACGCAGGAATCTTTGCCATCACTACATTCTAAAAAGAAAACAGCCGCGGCTCGAGCTTTATCCTAAAGCGGCCTCCTCCTCCCCGTCGGGACCAGCTTCCTGTTATTGTCAAGGACAGACACACTGTCAGTAGGTTCTTTTTCAGGACACATTTATTCGGCACTGCGTTCGGCTCGCCTCCTACTCCCACCACACCAGCTGTTCCTCTTCCCTTCTCCTTTATTTCTCTGTTATTTGCTTACCTGGCATTGCCCACTGTTCATATCAAGCCACTACTGTGGGTGCAGGCACACGCGCACACACACACACACACACACACACACACACACACACACAAGCCTGTGCCACCATGATTCATTGGACTTGTGTTTTGTTGTTCTCGTTCTATCCAGGTTTTAGTCTTTTTGGATCTGTGAAACTGATGTAATTGGTAATTCTTTCTCACCATGCTGCCAAAAACAGTTTTTTTTACTTGATTTATGTCGGGGGAGCATGAATTCACTATTTGATGATGATGATGATGTTGTGTGCTCGGCCTTCTGTAAAGATGATTTTAATAATGATATGAAGAGAATTTTACCACTCTTGTGTTTCGACTTTCCCGGCCTCCAAAATCTGCAGTAGCCGGCCAAAAATGTTGAAAATGAATCCAGCTATCTGCTTTCTGAAGGATAGGATCTAAATTTTAAAAATTGGACCCTGATAGTATTGAGCTGATAGTTGATCCATCATTTCTACACATTTCAAACTACACAATGGCGTCGACCCATCGCAACTTCTCCCAGTCGTGTTTGAAGCAGATGCTGAATGTATCGTTTTGGGTTTCATTGTTTATGAGCCACATAAGCAGCATGCTTGTGTGACATGCTGGACTCAAGTCAAAACAAAAACAACTAGATCTCCTCAGAGCAAGTCGACCTCCATCAAGTGTCAACGTGTGTGTTTGCAGCTGGAATGTGCTGTAGGATCAACATTTTTCCAGCAGAGGGACCTTTTTGTGGAGATCAGGATTTCTACCCTGCTGCACTTTGTTTCCACAGTTTCACTGTCGTCCACTAGATGGTGCTGATGTGCACTTTGCATTTTTCTAAATAACTGGGTCACGGTGTGTGTGGTGAGCGAGTGTTTGATCAGTTCAGGAAATTAGAGGCTGTGTTCAGACAGGAAGTCGAAAAATCTCAATTGAAGATTTAAACTGATGATCTTCACAACACACCGTGATACCCAGTGACAATAACACTAATGTCAACGGATAATCTGTGTTTTCAGAGGAAAACGGTCCCTACTGTCTGTGGTGATCTGGGCAAACAAGGCCAGTGACATTTAAGTAACACAGACCATATAAAAGACACAAGGAGAGATGCGTCACCCAACTGGTTTGGGACAAATGGAAATACCACGTCTAAATGTAATGGGTGAAGTTAATTTGGTAGTTTAGCAACCACTCCCTTAGATTAAAGTTACCGGCTCTCACTGCTTTAATGACAACGAAGGCTTCCAAACAGCACCGACAACATTGTGTAAGGCCAAGAAAGTAGATGAAACACAAAAACATTTACCCTCACCGTCTAATGTTGTTAAACTAGATGACGGGTGATGGTGAGTATTTTATTTAATCAACGCTAAATGATTTGACTATATTTAGATATTATCATTTACTAACGATAACACAGCTGGTAGGCCGCATAAAGTTTGGAGGACTTTCCTATTCCTCTTTTCAGCCCACATCCCAAATCCTGTCTTTTTGTGGTTTCTGGTTGCACGACCATGAGCCTCAACCAAGTGTTTGAGTGTGACAATTTCCTCGCTAACACGTGACACTACAGGCAACTCCCGAACACGCAGGTGAGTTGGGCCGATGAGGTACGAACTCAACCCAAATCCCACTCACAGCCCCCCCCCCCTTCAGCGGACCTTCCTTCTTGTGACCCCAGACCCCTTGTGTACCCTTCCCCCCCTCACCGCGCGCCGCCTGTGCTCACTCACCTTTCCCGCTCTGGGATACCTGGGGCTTCTGAGGCCCCCCGTCGCGCAGGCCGCCCCCGGTCGGCGTAGAGTCCACCCGGGCGGTGCCGCGTGGGGAAGGTGTCGGCGTGGCAGTGGTCGGCGTCAGGTTGGCGTGGCCACATCTGGGCGCCGGGTTGGTGGGCGCCGGGTTGGTGGGCGCCGGGTTGGTGGGCGCTAGGATGGCGGCCGCCGGGTTGGCAGGCGCCGGGTTGGTGGGCGCTAAGATGGCGGGCGCCGGGTTGGCGGGTGCCGGGTTGGCGGGTGCCGTGTTGGCAGAAGCCGCTCTCCCGTCCACAGCGTTTGGTGTCCCGAGAAGCCGGGCGGAGATGGAGCGCCAGGGAGCCGGTCCCTTCCCTGGTCACGCTCGCCGACTTAGGCTCTGGCTGAGGGACAAAAGGAGGAGAGGAAGCACGATCAGCGTTGGCGGCTAATCCGCATACAGCGGAATTAACGCGGCGTTTGATTAAATCATCGGACAGGTGATTCACAAATTACAGTCTTCCGACGACACCGCTCCAACGTGAAACACACAGAGCCACGACCGCTGATTGAGAGTTTAAGGCTGCGTGGAGGGAAAACGACAAGGGGACTTGGAAATCAAGCATCCTTCGCTAATCTCCCTTCCTGGTCTCACGCCTTCTTAATCAACAATCTCACTCTCTCTCGGGCTCCTTCCCTCTCTACAAATCAACCGGGGGGGGGGAAATCTGCAGCAGGGGCGGGGGGGGGGGGGGTCTAGCAACAGCCACTAATACATCTGCAGAACAGAATGCCAAACAACCTACGGTGTGGGTTTTTCATCGCCACATCAGCATGGGATGTGTTGGGGCCGGTGATAATAGGAGAGCCTGGTAGAGGAATTGGGAAGTGAGGCAGTGGCGAAGAGGAGGGAGAAAGAAGAAGAAGAGAAAAAAAAAAAACAGAGCTTCGGCGCCTCGAGAGACTATCCCACAATCCCATCCCATTGGGGACTGAGGCTTTCTGAATCTGTGGCGTTTTATTCCCCCGACAAAGTTCATTCACCTATTTTGTTGGGCGGCGCCCCAGAAATCCCGCCTTGTCTCATGGAGACACGAAAAGGGAAAGTAAGATGGGGACTCCCCCCCCCCCTCCCCGCCGACACGAGCAACCCCAAGGCCACAGCGACCATGGGCCCAGTGGGTGGGGGGGGGGGGGGGGCAGTTCGGTTCAGCTGTCCCCGCCAGCCCCCCCCAGCTGCGAGGGGCGCGGCGGCTCAGAGCGAGCTGGAGCACGGAGAGCGGGGGGAGAAAGACGATCTGCAGGGGACAGCTGGCTCAAACCGCCATTTCCTGTTCCTATTTCAAAAAGCCCCGTTATTAACGCCAAGAAGCTTTTACTGAGAGCAGTAAACGCTCGAAACGGATTGCAGCAACTAGTAAGGCGGAGGTGGACTACCAGTACTTTGATTCATAAATACCTTTTCAGCTGCTGGAGGTGACGGATGTCCACTCGCTGACACCTGTGGGTTCAACGGAGACATTACACCAGTGTTACGGGCCATGATGCGGCCCCGGACAAAAAAAAAGAAAAAAGAAAAGAAAAGAAAAGACAAAGCTCCATCATAAACGCGCAGTGGCTCCGACTCACCGGCAGAGGGAGCGCGGTGCTCGTCTCCTCGCGCTTCCCCTGCAGGGAGAGAGAAGGTGCATCGTCAGAGAGGAAGCCAGAGGCGACACGTCATCCCGCCCCTCTACTTTGAGTCACTTCAAACGAGCAGGGAAGTCAAGTGTGAGCCGATCGCGTAGGTAGAAACATTGAAAATGATAAGTGGCTGATTTAGGATCTGCACGAGGAAGCACTTGGTTCCACTGTTGCGAGCAGCCAGCAGCTCTGAGCTCAGCATCGCGGCCGGGCCAGATGAGGCCTCGGCTCGCCGTGCGCGAGGGTTACCATGACAACGCGGCGAATCTCTTAAGAGAGCGTGCGAGGGGGAGGCCCAAAACTCTCTTGTTACATGGATCGGGTCTTTTCAACATACACTTTTGTCTCCACGGGAAGTTGGGTTCAACGTAACAAAGCAACTCGGCATGAGAGATGTTATTCGGTTTCTTGGTTTTCCAAAGACAAATGAATACACACACACCTTCAGATTTAGTGAAATTCCAGGTTGTGTGTTCTCTCGTTCAGCTGCGACAGGTGCTGTGGTTCTGCTCTTCAAGATGGTTTGATGGCTGCAAAACACAGTCAGACCACATCAAACATCTTCACATATCCGCTACACTTGTGTTTCATAGTCCACGTTATGATTAAGGAGACATAAAACCCTGATTACCCGTCACCCACAGGCTGTAAACAACGCTGAAACCCTTTCATTTTCCCACATTATTGTTCACTGCCTGTGATATTACACAAGTAGATTACCATGCATTGTTCTGAAGACTCTTTTCTCCGAATCCCGAGTGGATGAATTTGGAGTTCAGCTCATCCCGCTCCCCGATCACGATGACCGCCACATCGCCATCCCGACCGGGCAGCCAGCTCACATTCTTGCGGTTGGCTGGGAAACACAAAGTAATGGAGTTATAAAAAAGGTTTAGAAATCTTAATAATGCAAACGTTCTCTTGTCAAAACGAGTTTTGAGAAACAAGCTGTTTGAAGACAGAGTGAAAACCGGGTAAGTGAGTTTTGCTCGATGTTTCTAATGTATTTTAGGCATCTCTAGACCTCTCAGATAACAATACCGGTTCATTTCCTCTTAAAACTGTCAATTTTGCCTGATGTCTGAGGACGATGACTGTACGTGCGAGCACAAAAGGGGCGCAGACACTTCCACGGCACACAAAACAATGTCCCCGTTTCGTGACTCATGTTCGGGAGCATACTGAAGTTACTTTACCTGCTGACGTGGGCTCACAGGGAGCTTGAGAAAAGGTTAACGTGCGTTCAGAGTGAACTGGTTTTGCCAGCCTGCCCTGTGGGTCGTTGCGTAAGACAGGACATACCAGGATGACAGACTCGACAGTCACAGTACACCTGGGCAGGCAAGTTATTGGCCCAATCTGACAGCTACAACAACAACAACATCAACAGCAGCCCCGTTGCCAGGGGAGACGGGTCAGCTGAGAGGAGGGGACAAAAGGGATGAGACTCCGGACATCTGTCCTCGGCCTGCTGTGATGGACGGACACAATTGGCCGAGGTTTGGTAACAGAAACTGAGCCTGGAGGGAATGTACAACATACCGTGTACAGAATGCAGTCATGGCTGTACACCAACACTAATTACTGTAAAAGGCAGCCGCTTCATTCAGATGCGTCAAAAAACAAACTGGCCGTGTGAGCTCTCCCGCCAGGGCGGCCGGATAGAATCCCAAACTGGTTTCTCGAAAACACTCGCGCGTTTCCTGCTTCCCGTCTCGCTCCCTGCTAATTGTTTCGAGTGTTGAACACACTTCCTATTTTTTCAAACAGAGAACACAAACTATCCACCATTTCCTCCGTGGCCATGTGACCCCCCCCCCCCCCCCCCGGGCCTGTGCAGCCTCCGGCGTTGCGGTCTCTGCTCTGCACCCCGGCTGATAGATACTTCCTCATCAGCCGCCACGAGACCGACAGTGAACGCACCAACTGCAAGTGTTGCCCTTGACGTGCTTTCAGAAATATTCAAGTTCGGCTGCTGTCGTGTACTTCTGGTTCGTTTAAAAAAAAAAAAAATTTTTAAGTCCCTCTGCAAGGACGTCCTTGGGAATTTAAAAATAGAACTATTTATTACGCCACGCGCTTCTATTTGTGCCTGCTACCAAATAAAAGAGAAAAAATGTAGAGGGGCGAGATTCTGAAACAGCCGTCAGACCAGTTCTTTGAAGGAGACATGCGGCCTTCTGAGTTTACGGCTTTGGTTTGATCGCTGCATGTGTGTCGTCGACTCACGAGTTCCTGTTCAACCCATTTAGCTTTAACGCCGCAGACTTCGCTTTCCTCGCCGTGAACGTCGAGTGTGATGTCAACACCAACCCACCGGCATCATCAATCTGCTGTGATTGTTTAGCACGTTTTGGGTGTAAACAGAACTCTCGCATTACGGACACATTCACGTGGACCGGCTGCTGTTGTTTGGGGAAACTTGAAAAAGCTGCCAAATGGGACTTCTAGTAAACACCTCGGACAAACGGGGGAAAAAAGAGAAAGGTGTCCCGTTGCCCTGGTTACCTTTTTTTGGCGCTGTTCGTTTGCGCTCGCCGTCCACCGCTTCGCTCTCCAGCTTCTCCTCCCGCTCTGTCCAGCGCCGTACCTGCTCCTGCCGCATTTTCAAGAACAGGATCTTTTTCTGGTCGTCGTTAAGCGCGTCCAGCACATCGGGGTCGATGAACATGTCGTCCAAGATCTGCTGCAGCATGATGGCGGCTGAGGTCGGCACCAGCCCGGCCCGAAGCGCTTCGGAGGTAGGATGGGGCTGCCCCCCCCCCACGGGCCCGGCAGCTTGTTGAGGTGGACGGCGTCGGCTTTATAGTCTCATGTCAGCCCGGAAGGAGACTTTCAGAGCGTCTTTGGCTTGAGATCGCTGGCGTTTACCCCCCGTAAACTCTTCCTCATCAGTCATGCATGCTCATCCTCACACACACACACACGCACACACACACACACAATCCGGTGATGTGCTCTCTGTGTTCCTACGGAGAGGTCAGTGTTGGTCTTTGGAGGTCATCTTCGGGACTTTCTACGAGAAGAAAAACAAACAACAAAAAAGCAGGAAACACTTAGAAACAAAGATTTGGAAGATTAAGCGGTGCGCTCTACCTACTGCATTTCTCTCTCGTGTCCTTTCTAGTTCCTAATCCCACCTTTTGTTCGCGTTCAGAAACTTCTCCCTTCCGAACCATTCCTTCAGAAAGCCTGTTTTCTGTCGTCCCTCCCTTCATGAATACGGAAGAGCCTTAAAAACTGACAGACTGCAGCCCGGAATGGGAGGAGATTCCAAAGGAATGGGACTGTTTCTGTCAACAGTGACCCTCCCTCCCTCCTCCCCCATCTCCCCACCACACATCCCTTCACAAACCCATGCTACTCCCTCCACACACACACACACACACACACACACACACAAAACAAAAAAAACTCCCATGATATAGCGGCTTCATTTCCGCGCTGTCAGTTTCTGGTTGTAAGAGAGAAGGTGTGAAAAAACTAAAAAAACAAAAACCCAAATGGGGTCTCGGGCCGCGAACAGCGCGAGCCGGGTTTCCTCCGATAAGCAGCGACGGACTCCTCCAATCACAGTGGCTGGTTAAACAATGGCCACCACACAAGCAGGGGAGAGAAAGCCGGTCTCAGTCTGAGAAGTGTGCTGGAATACAGATGTGTCTACTAAACACATTGTAGCCTAGGATGCGCAGAAGGAAAGCGCCCCCCGCCCCTCACCCGCTCCCCCCTTCCGGGGAAAGGCAAACTACGGAAGGGGGCTAGGAGACAAAAGGTGGAGTTGAAAGAGAAGGGTGTAGTATCGCTGGAGTACTCACAGTGGGGTGCAGACCGCCGCTCCGCAGCAGAGTGAGCTAACTAAGCTGAGCGAGTCGGAGCGGCAACGGGTCCTCCTCGCCTTTGTGTGTGCGCGAGACTGGGCCGATGACGTCACAGCATTCCATAATCTCCCTCCCTCCGCGCCTCGCGCCCTATGTCTCTCTCTCTCTCTCTCTCTCTCTCTACTCTCGATCAGCCGCATACTTTCAACACACGCGCTTTATTTTATTTATTTTGTTAAAGGGGAAGAAAGCGATTCGGGAAGTTGAAACCCAGACATTAGAAGAAGTTGTAAAAAAAAAAAAAGTGAGAGTGAAAGAGAAGAAAAAGGGGGAAATGCCCATAAACGTTTCAATCCATTTTCCCACCCACGAAACTGGTTCCACCTCTTTAAATGTGTTTTGTATCAACAGTGCATGTAAAACACACTTTCAGTAGTATATACGTACTTTTAAGAGAACAATGGTGGGTCTTCATAGATCACAAATAGGAAAATCATTATAATGCAATTTTGTCCATATATATTACACCATGAATATGCCATGATTACTACATCTAGAATACAACATGCATTGCAGCGTTTAAAAATACACGCAACACAACGAGGTTGTGGAGGATTTCCTGTGTCGGTCTGTGCAGCATGTGGCACATTGTGACAGGCACAGCCCCCACGCTCTCTCCCCTTTATGTGATTACTCGTTACTCAGTAAATGACGGGTGTCTTAAAGTAATGCCAGGTACTGTGACAATAAAAAAAATGAGCTGAGTCGGTATAAATGTTACGTTGGGTTTCCGGAGTGTTTATTTGAAGCCATCTAGCAAACGTCTGTGGCCCATCTTGGATGTAGTGCTTCTAAATTATATGTAGAGGTCAAAAGAAGCTCAGGAAGCTTAGTAAAAAAAAAGAAAAAAAAAAGGCCTCGAGATATTTCATCCTCACGTTGAAGCTTTCTGCGGCTGATCCTCTCATTTGTAGGTAAACGGCGCCGCCTAGCGGTCAAAATCCCCGAAGCCTGTAAAAATGACGTCATTATCCAGCTGCTTCTGCGCATTGCACTGAATAAGGAAAATGACAGTCCTCCACCCAAAGGCAGCGTTTATTAACCTTACGCGACCCCACGACTGAAATAATGGTACACAAAAAGGTAGACGGGTGACAAAGACCGATGCTCTGATGCTCTATGTTCACCATGTTACTGCAATCAGCATATATCTGGGAGCAATCACTGCCTTTGTGCATCAAAACATGACCGAAAAACTCTTAACTCTAAACTTAATAAAAAGGGTTCTAGTAAAGAGTGCACTGTGCTTTCAAAGCTGTGGTGACCTCGACCAATCCTCAGTGTGGGGGTTCTTGGGTGAAGAGTTGGCGTCGGGACTGGAGTCCATCTCAATTCAGCACATCTCCCTCGTTGCTTTCACCCCGTCCTCCCCATCCCGGCTGGTGGGACGGCCAAGAGCCCGAGAGACCATCGATTTTACCCACAAGGCCCAGACACACAAATGTCCTGCAGAAATGCGTTGGGGCGTGTTCAGGCCGTGCACTCTGACCTCTCTGGAGAGTTGGTGCTTGTGGGAAATACAAAACACAACTCCTCTAGAACTTAAGATTTTTTTTGTAGTGTAGTTTTTTTCTGCCGCAGTAGGTGGCCGAGGAGAAACGGCGGTCCCAGGACAACGCCTGCCTTATTCTTGATGAGCAAATAGCATCCTTCATCATCCTCTATCACAGCTCACCTTTAATAAGCCAGAGAACTCTAGCTTGTGACTCGAAACTTGTCAAACTCGCGAAGAGCTATTAACCCAAAAGTATTAATAAAACTTTGACCTGCTTTTCTTGCGTGAATCCCTTCACACAAGGAACCTCAGAGCGCCAGATCAGAAATTACTTGTAAAGGACCCGGTTATGTTGAGTTGAGATCAACAAGTAAAACTCGTGGAACAGCAATCGTTGTCTACGGATGAGCACAAATGTCATAGTCGGGTTGATAGAGAACAACGTAATGCTTTATTTTACAGCCCAGAAGTATACATACAGTACTAGTGTAGAAATCACTAAGAAGACATGAGTCATCAGTAACTTGTCATTTGCATTTTAAAAGGCTGTAAAATTAAGCTTCAATAATTAGTATCATTGTAAATGCAGAGTCAGACATTGTGGACAACACTACATCAAAATTAAACACTTTTCAGTGAATTGGACATTTTGAGAAGGGTTTTTCTTTTCCTCCAACTAGAAACCAAAAAAAAAAAAAAAGCAATACATTTGAATGTCGATTCTCCCTCATTGGGTAAATTAAATTTATTTTTGAAATTTGTCAAATGTACATAAATTATATTTAATGCATCAAACACTTCATCTTAAAGTAAAAATAAGACATTCTTTGTTGAGATAATCTGAAACAAGTATTGGTCAGGCATTTCATTAACCTGGGAAAGCAAAGTGCTACACACAAACAACCACTGAAGACAGTTCACCATACACCTTAATGAGAATCCGACTGAAGCACCTTTTCTTAGCTCAAAAGCTAAAATGGATATTTCAAGGTTTGTTTTTTTAATAAGTTTCTTTTCACAAAAACTCCATTGTGTGTTTATTGTCTACCCTCGACAACCCATTGTTGGGTCTTTTCCTAAAAGAGAGGCGTACTTGCAGTGACATTGTTCTATTTCAAGTTAAAGTACTGTGAACTGCTTAACCCAACACGCTGTTAAGACCTTGGTTTACTATATTTTCCTCCAGGATGGAGCTTTGAGTGCAAATAAAGGCATACAACTCCTTCATGAGAAATAAACATGGAATTCCGTCACATGCTTTCAAATAGTAATCATATATTTAATTGATATACATATATTGCCACTATTGGCACATACGATATTGCACACAGTGATGAAATGTTGCACCGAGAAAAAAAAGAAGATATATTTTTTGTGGGCAAAAACATTCCAAAATTACAAATAACGTGGAATAACGCTGAAAAGGTAAAACTAAGAGGAAAAAGAAAAAAAAAGGAAAAAGACATGCTTGCTGCTCCCCGTTAATTGAGCGAGGTACAACTTAACACATAACTACCCAAGCCGTAGAACGAGCATTTCACCGCCGGCTTGTCAACAATACTGGGTATTATTTCAGGCTACTACTGATGTTTCCCAACCAGCCCCCTCAGCTAACGCGCCCAGCCGACTCCTCTGCCTCACCTTCCACCTGGGTGACCCCCGACCCCCCCGCCCTCCCCCTTTCCACGTTTACATGTAGGCCGATGCCTGGATGGCTGGGAACGGGGATGTAATGGAGGTTGGGAAAACGGAGGGAGGTAGCAGAAAAGAAAAGTTAAATTCTGTTCAGAAATTTCCATTAGGGTTCGTGCCAAAACTCTTTTTAGCACCGCGAGTCGTTTGCTAGCGCACAAGGGGACGAATGGGAAGAGGAGAGGAAACGATTAAAGAGAAGCCAAACGTGCGATCCAAAGCACCAGCCCAGCGTGTAAGCATGCGGAGTGTGTAAGGCACCAGGTTGTTCGTATGCTGAAGAGGACGCTCCCACGCCAGGTATCATCTACCGGAGGCTCCGAGGAATAGGTGGTCGTGGACTGTCTAGCTTGCTGGTTTCCAGTCAATGTAAAACATGGGAGCAGTCATTTAAATCAAATGCTGAGGTAAATCTGACACGATCCGATTGTTGCCAGTGTCTCTGGAGTTTACGGGCAGAGTTTATAAAACTGCTATCACACATCTATGAGATGCGACTGAACTGGTTTGGAACCAGTTGTTTTCCGTGTGGCAGTCCAAACATTTACAATTAGACTAGAACATAATCTCATCAGCTCCGGGCAGATATATGGGTTAACAAACCTGGAGTGGAGCTATTAAAGTGTGTGTGTGTGTGTGTGTCTCCAAAGAGGCCCCCCACACAGGTTCACACCTTCAGCTCGTTAAACTTTGTGGGGGACGTACGAACTCAACAACCCACTGCTGAAGGTTCACCTTCATTGTGATGGCGATATTTTTGATGACTTTTTGCAAGGTCACAAAAAAACGATTGCGCCGCGAAGACAACTTCCACTACAACCGCACCAAGCCGTGGGATGGAAATCACTCGGTACTCAAACTTGAGATTCGTACACTACGGGCAGATAAAACACACATGGAAGAGTCCTTCGGCGTATAATTTGGAGAAACCAACGAAATCTATTTTAGTGCATAGTAACATGCAGGAACAGCACTTGGCACCATTTGGACTTTTATGACTTAAGATCACAAAATATTTCAGTTTTTGATTATTATTTTTTCTCTCCAGACCAATAAGCTAATCAGCACATTATGTAGGGTGTTTGTCTTGTTAAGTAATCTGCAATTCAAGCTATTTACTACACGTTTTCACTGCATTTCCTCTATCGCTTACACATTTAGTACCTTTTTTTTTTTTTAAATGAACACATTGCATTAACAACGAGACACTAAGGTAGTCTATAATATATCCATCTGCATGACAATAATTCCAACTGAAAACAAAAGTTACAATATTAATATTTCTTTGAATGCCTCCGGCAAACGTCATCAAGAGCCATTGACCAGTTCAATATATTTGATTTGTATGCAATGCATATTGCACGATGGGTAGGCATTTTCATCAAATGAAACGAATGCTCTATGTGGTCCTTTTTATACTGCATGACATCTAGCCGCTTTCTCTTTCATAGCAGTCCTAGCCCTCATATAATTTATGTGTAAACACATCTCTGCTCACAGGTAAAAAGGTAAAGACGATGGCCAAGTACCTTTTAACAGAGTTCTTGAATTTTGGTTTTGAAAATGAAAAACCTCTGATTTGTGCTGAAGCCAATAGCTCACATGAAAAGGGAAAAGGTCCTCTGCAAGAACTCCGTTTGAACACTGCAGATTGCTCCCCCCCCCCCCCCATCGCTCTCTTTTCAATAGCTTTAACTGGTACAAAAGTTGTCCATTAATAAGGGAAATAAACACCTCAGTTCAATATTGTCTGTCAAGTAGGAAACAATGTTCAAATATAATGTTATTACTTTGTTTAGCAGCCTGTTACTGTATTAATGGTGGATAAGTGGGGGAAACATCCAGCGATGAGTGACAACATGTCATAACTGTCAGCTTGTGGAGGTTTCTTATATTGAGGGTGATGCTCCCTTGGAGTTAAACCATTACAGTTAAATCTTTAGATTTCTCTCTCTGTACAGTAGAGTTTTTAATTATATTTCTCTTTGTTATTTTCATTACTCTTTGCATTGCAGGCATCGCTACGATCAATCCTCGTCGCCGTCGTCGTCCGCCTGCAGCTCCTCTTGTTGCTGCAGCTCGCATGCCCTTTTCTCCCGCTGCTTCTCCTGGATCTTCTTCATCTCCTCGGCATATTTACAGAAAGTGTTCCCGAATTTGGACCACACTTTGTAGGGCACCGTGATCGAGTTGCGGTACGTCGGCTTCACCTCGCTCACGCGCATGAACACACCGTACTTATTGGATCCGACGTCGAAGAAAAACCGCTTGTTGTCCACAGTCAACGATGACCCTTCGGGCAACTCTGCGGGTTCGTCCTCTACGCCGTAATCGTCAATAAGTTTAGCCAAAGCGTCACGAAACTCAATAAGTCCCTGGGCCGGCAGAGCGATCGTCTGGCCTTGCGTGGATCCCAAACCGGGCCCCCGGTTAACGGTCTGTCGGATCCTCAGGAACCGTCCCCTCTGGTTCTCTTTCAGATCCATGTAGTACTTCCGATTCTCCCGGACCAAGAACTCGCTCTTGAGGGCTCGCCGGGGCTCGTCCTGCACCAGCGCCGGGTTGCTGGGACCCAGCTGGGCGTAGTGTTCGATGAAGTCCCCCAAGTAGTCGCGGAACTCGACCGCCACGGACATGGAGAGAGTGAGGCGGCTCTTGTTTCCACCGGCCCCGACTTCGGCGATCTTCAAGAAGCGGCCTTTCGCGTTCTGCTTTACGTCCAGATAGAAGCGTTTGTTTTGGATGTCAACCCGCTTCGACGCCAGCTCCTGGGTCTCGTGTTGGAGCCCGGAAGCCGAGCCCGCCCCTCCGGTAGCCGGGTGCATGGAGCCGAAGCCCGGGCCCGTGGGTGCTCCTCCCTGCTCGCTACCACTGTCTCTGTCCGCCATGATGCTGCCTGCCTGCCTTCTCCCTCTCTGTCTGTCTGCTGCAAAGCCACGGCCAGCTACCGCGAACGCTGGAACTCTCGCGAGATCTACACAGAAAGGTATAAAAAAAATGAGAAAAAGTTAAAGCGAGGAGGAGGAGGAGGGGAGGAGGGGGGCGTTAATGCAGAGCAAAGACGCGGTGCTTTCTCATACGGAGCGATGTCACTAGCGGCCAGTAACCAGCGGATGAAAGGTGATTAAATGCGTTTCAATTAGTCAAAGCAGCTTCTGAAAAATATTGTGTTCATCGTTACCTGGAAGGACGCAGCTTGTTCCCTCCGTGTTAAAGCAAAATACTTATGCACCCAACGGAACACTGGATAGTTTACAGCACAGGTGTCTGGAAACGTTAAATATAATCTCAAGTAAGACGTTGTGGGAATTGAACAGAATAATGTATTGTTATAATTAAATATACACTACATGCCATTTAGCAGACGCTTTTATCCAACGCGACTTAATATAAGTGCATTTCAACCATAAGTATACAAAAAGAACAAGAAAGTGCAATTTCATCGAATAAGCCGATCTACAACTTGCTATAAATAAGAGCCATTACAAGCGCAATTTTGAGTGCTACAATTTGTTTAATGTTTTTAGTCAAGGTATATATACATACACATAAATATTATAATTTTAAGGGTTTTGTATTCAATCCTTTAAGACTAAACTGACAGGAATTAATCTGACCCGATCACCAACACTAAATATTGCTTTAATATTTTAACTGCATTGTATTATGCTAGTAGCCGAATTAAAAAACAACAAATAATTCACTACCAACCCTGCACAGCAAATGAATGCATAACTACTTCCTCTTAATTTATGAACTTGAAGGCCATAGGCCAGCATAGAAAGCATTATAATTCATGTAGATTATTAGCTTAATTACCAGAAAATCGGTTTCATGAGAATAGGTTCTTTCACAACTGCAAATGTGTTTTCCTGGAATGGCAATAAAGTGCAGCATTGCCCAGTAAGACCGATATAGGCTCGTTTAACGCATGTTAAATTGTTTTTAAGAACAACATTTCATGCAACACTTACATCGCCAATTATGCGCACAGGCTCCATTAAAAGACATACAAACCATATTTTTGGAACAGCAAAGTCCTTCAGTGAACGGCGGCTGTGTCGGCTTCAAGTCATTTCAGACACGTTTCAATACGTCAAATCCCAAATTGCCCATGGACTCTATAATCCAAACAGGCGTCCTGCAGCACGAGCACCCCACGCGCGCGCACGAGAAGCAAAATGTAGGCAGAATTTCCCATCTTCGGCCTACAGTAACCCCCGAGCCCCGTCGTTTCCCCAGCCTCTCCAGCCAAAGGATGCATGACGCCTTACCGCCCGGGGACTCCTTTTCCCCCCCATGTGTGTCCTCAGATAATGTCCGCGTGTGGTGGTGGTGGTGGTACTTTATTATTAAATAAGTCTATATTATTCTGCAGGCCAACTGACGACGTGCTGCCATCGCAATAAGCGACGAGTGGTGTTAATTGCCCAGCAGTTTTGTTTTTCCTTCCCGCAGCAGCGTATCAGGAGAGAGAGCGAGAGGCCTAATTGGATATCTGTGTAGATCCGCCTGCAAACGACCGCCGACCCGTAGTTGCTGAGCTCCTCGGACACTAACACGGCATATTATCGTATGAAAAGTCCAAACAAAATGCATTCAAATTATTTTTTTGTATTTGTATAATTTATTTAGATGATGTGACGTGGTCATGCCGAAGGTGGGTGCTTTCAAATTGTAATTAGAGCATGTTTCATTTCGCGTTCATGCGTACTCCAAATAAGGAACCAATCCACACAGTTTTGCAGGTTTTAATAGGCTTCACACAACATACCTTTTATTAGTCACTTGTGAAAATACTGTCCCCGTGCTGGTGACACTTTCTCCATACCGTCCTTCTTGTCAGGCTGCGCATATACCCTTCACTTAAAAATTAAAATGCTGCCCTAATTTGTTCGTACAGAGATAAATTGAAATAGCATTTTTTTTTATTTTCAGCTATAAAGTGATATGACTAACTTATACATGCTGTTCAGTGGTTTGTTCTCACCTCAGCAGCCGATGGCCTTGACGCGACGTGCTCTTTTTTTTCTCAGCAGGTGATAACCAAGAGCATGGATGCATGCAAAATAGACAAGTAATTAATGTATACTTTATTTTAGTTTAACTAAGGTGTTTTCTTATGAAATCTGGATTTCCAATGTAAGCATATTCCAGAGCTAAATCTAATACCCCCTCTCTTTCCCTTGGGGTTTATTGGACATCACATTTATAATATAATCCAGTTTTGTAATCCAAAACCTCACCATAATACATTTCGGCCTTATCTCACCTACTAGCATACCCTGTCTCAGTGCCACCTCAAACAACCTTTTCATCGAATAATCCATCCCCAATGAGCCTGTTTTTTGAACCCATTTGTATCATGAATATGAATCAGTAATAATGTGTTGCAATCGGAGGCCGAAGCCGCGTCCCATGCGGATGTCATGCTTAAAACGTCGCCGTTTGTAAGAAGGCTGCCGCTGGGATCCACCTCACAAAGTTTTTGCCCTACATCCCAACGCCGGAATGCAGTGGCGCTGCTCCAAATGCAGCTCCATTATTATTTCAGCCGCACGCCTGTTTGCTCGAGCTCGTCTTGTGTGTCCCCGTCTGCAGGGACGAGGACACACATCGCTCGGTTTGCACGTTAGGACGCTCAAACGCCGCATGGACTCCGGACATCATGCAATTAAAGCCGAATCCAATGACCTCCCGGCACCCTAATAAAAAAAAAACCCTACCTTAATAAGCCGCTCAGTTAGCAGTGGTTCAGCGCCTCGCAGACACGAACCGCGGGTTGCAGAGGACCCGAGGAGTCGACACCGCACCGCGGACCGCTTCTGCGAACTGCTCGTCGGGAAATGGGAAAGGAAACGATGGAGTCGTGGCACGGTGAGACGGCGACACGTGCACGAGTTCAACGCCGCACGCTCTTCACCTCTGATGTCAACGCGCACTGGAGACTCGGGAAGGTGGGGAGCGAGGGAGGGGGGCAGAGCTCGGAGGAAACGCGCCTCCCCGCGGTGTGGTTGGGGAACTGCAGTTTAAGCCTTCTGGCGGTAACAGGTTGGGGCAACGTTCTTTGCAACTGGGAAGGAAGTGAGCGGCGGGATTTATAGAACTTCAGCACCACGGAGAGCGGCCAGTTCCGATGCGGGTGTGTTTTATTGATCGTGTATACACATTAGCGTGTTCTGAGGCTGCCGCATTAAATACACACGCGTGTTTTATTGGACCGGATTCGGACGTGGTGCCCTGTTAATTTAGTCCTTGTTCCCTTTGACTTGCCGCAACACCGACAGCGAGCTTGTGCAAAGTTGCTCTGAGATTGTGGTCAGCAGATGTCGCTCTTTGTGAAGGCTGCCAGTTCAACTGTATCCGCATTATATTGTGCAAAGGCTGAACCAAAACCATTACAATTACAACTAAAACAATAAGCATTCTTATTGATGGCGACCAATTAATTTTGTGTCTATAGTCTCGCAGATAAGAGCTCATTGGTAGGAACAGAGAAGGCTACTTTCATTGATTGTTGCTGAATGCGGGGCATGACTTGATGGGCTGAGACGCAAAACTCACTCAAACAGACTCTTTTCTTTCCGCAGCCGTAGTCATCGCAGCCATATTACTTTTTTTTAGGCCCACCGAACCACACGTGGACGCGTTTTTCAACGTCCACCTATTTGCTCATTGGAGTAATTCCTCGGCAATAGTGAGATGCCATTCTGAGGGAGGAAACGGTCCTGGATTTTCGGCTTTCGTGTGATTCGTTGCAACGCCCCATGGAGTGACTGACGGACTGGGACTCGGGAGAGAGGAGGTCGGCCTTTTGGTCCGTCGGTATCTCAGCGCTCCGGTCCTGCGTTTTTTTTTTTTTTTTTTGCACTTTACGATCGGCATTTTCTCTCCGTCTGCTGGGGGTGGAGAGAGAGAGAGAGAGAGAGAGAGAGAGAGAGAGAGAGACACGGTGCACAGCGCCGTATTAGCGTTGTAGCTGCCGAACCAGAAAATATTCTTTTATTTCACTGGGATGAAACGTGGCTTATGTTTTGCAACCGGACTACAACACTCATGGTTCACTGCAGCCTTTTTGCGTCTTTTTCCTTTCCGCTGCAGATGATACAGGAACACCATTCATAGCAGCACCCCGCCACTGCATTTTTTGGGCAGAGATAAGAGTGCCGTCGTCTGGCAGTTAAGCCTACCATGCCGGCATAAGGGGGGTGTGAGGTGGGGGTCGGTGGGGGCTTGGGGTGGGGGTCGGAGGGGGGACGCGGGGGGGGGGACGCGGGGGGTGGAGAATCCGCCAATTCCTCGCGTGTAGCCGCACGCCGGCAAAGCCTTAATTATTAGCAGAAAGCAGCGACCGGATTTGAAAACCAGCGTCATCCCGCGGTTCGCCACCCCCCCTCCTTTCCTTCCCTTCCCCCCCTTCCACCCCAATCCCGAAGCCGCCGTTTACCCACTGGAAAGCCCTCGGAGAAGCAGCGGATCCCGATGGCATGGACACTTATGCAAGGTCTGCCGCGCTGCCGTGCTACTGGAGCCTACTCGCCGTCCCTTCGTTCAGCCCAGCTCCATCGCCATCGCCCCGCAGCCGAGGGAGCCCTGCCGCAACGCGACCAGCGACCACCGAGCCAAAGCAGGCGGCATGAGGCTTGATTCAGTACATTTATCCATGCTGGTCATCGGGGTCTCGTTCGCCTGCTACTCCCCGAGTTTGAATTCCCTGCAGGACCAGGTTTACAAATCCGCCGTGGTGATCGAGGGCAAGGTGCAGTCTACGCCTGTGAACGTCTCCGCGCAGCGCTACCGTGTGAATGTCAAAGTGCTGGATGTTTGGCCCCTGAACAGCGGGGGTCTGAAGCGAGAACAGCTCGTCGCCGTGGGGGAATTTGGATCCGAGCCTCCGTGCACCAAAGTGAAGAAGAACCACAAGTACATTTTTTTCATGGACCCTACTGACGAGCCCCTGGTTTTCAAAGCATCCTTTGCGCCACGGGACACGAGTGTGAGGAACCTAAAAAAGGATGTTGGGAAGATCTTGTGTGAGGACTGCGGTAAGTTGATGTGATTGTGGATTACCGGTGAAGTCCAACCCGGAAGAATGATGAGCGGTCTGTTAACAGCGCCGGCTTTTTTTTTGCTCACATCCACGCCGGTGAATTGTGGTTATTTTGGCCACAGACATGGTTTGGGGGTCAGTGAGTTTCAGATAGGTGCCCAAGGGGCGTCTATGCAGCAATTTTCGACAACTCTAGCAGACTCCCATAGCCCACATGATCAATCAAACTCTCTTTCTCTTTTTCTCTCCCATTCTCTCTTTCCTCAACCCGCATCAGACATGCGCCTCGCACTGTTGCTTGTGGGGAATTGCAGTTTTGTGTGTGTGTGTATCGAAGTATATCTGCATCCTGCATACCCGCATTGTACTCAAAACGCACTTTCTAGTGCACGTTTTACTTCACAGGCTTCGTGTGCGTTCCCAGATTTTAAGCGGCTTGTATTGTGCAGTTCGCCGTCACTGGTATACTTTCAGGACCAGGGACAGCGGCCCGTAGCACCGGTGTCACGTGTGGAAAATCCCGCTGCCCTATTAGCAGACAGGGTTCCAAGGCTATATTTAGGCTCCCACCCTGCCCTAATGCTTTAATACCCCACACTATGGCATAGCCTATATCCTATGTGAACGCATGCATCTTGCGTTAAAAGACTAACAAATTGTAGCACTTAAATTGTACTTATAACGCCACTCGTCTATAGCAAATTGTAAATTGGCTTATTTGAGGAAATTGCACTTTCTTGTTTCTTGTTCTTCTGAGTTTGTACCCCTATGGTTGAATGCACTTATTGTAAGTCGCTTTGGATAAAAGCGTCAGCTAAATGACATGTAATGTAATCTTCAGGGCAGATGGATGGATCGCAGCGCGTGGTTGCGTACTAGTCTGAAACTCACGGGGTTATTGTTGAAACATATCACATTATTAACTTTCCCACTCCGCGTTTTAGAACCTTTCCTTTTCTTTAGGTTGACATTTTAAAATCCCACCAGGCCCATTTTTAAATGCTAGTGTCATCCTCTGTTAATGATTGTATTTAAATTATACTCATTGTGGATGTTGATTAAGAACAGTGCAGCATGCTGTTGCACTGGTGTTGATGTAGTAGGCTGCACACGTATACTGTTGTTACGGTTCATGTGAATTCACACAGAGTATAATTTTAAAAATTATACACGGTTTGGCCGCTTACAGGTCGCTTGGTCACTAGTTTTGCTGCTTGTAAACCGCTCAAATGCCACAGAGAGCGTCTTCTCGGCTATTCACCAGGCTAATTTGTAATAATCTAGTAGTGTCAGATCTATAAAATAGCGCTTGTCAAAGAGCCGCTCTCTTACTTGTGTCTAAGTGATGTCCCGTGCTGGTGAACTTGCAGCACAACTTCAAATTGCGAGATCTGAAGTAATCTGATGTGTTTTGGAGCCAATTAGAGAATATGTCACACATAAAAAAAATAAAACATCTTTTACTACCATCAAGTGGCAGTTGTGCTTCCACTTAAGTATTGTGGTCTAGAACAAGATGTACCGCCCCCCCCCCTCTCTTAAATCCTCTTAGCCTGCACTCATGAGACGCAAATGATGCCCTCTCCTCTTCACTTTGCCTCACTCACTCTGGTTTTTAAACTCATCACCGCATTTGAAAAGTCACGCGCTAAGTTCCAGTTACCAGTCCAAACATCCCCCGTCAATTCTTGTGCCACATTAGCTTCTCGGTGACGGGCTCAAACTGCCCCACTGTATTACCTGGGGGAGCGGCCGCGCCCGCTTCCCAGGCCTCCCCCATCCTTTTTTATTCAGTTCAAAGCACCCAACAATGTAGTTCATGTTGTTCTGGTGGGTAGTCGAGGGACCTCTTCTCTTCTCTGACCCACCTCCCCCCTCATCGCGCCATCTCAAAGAGACAGACCGATAAACAGATAAACAATCAGTCCCTTGACATCTTGTTCCTTTTGAGTTAATTCATTCAGCAGGGACTCAAGATCAACAATGTTTCAGTTTTTGTTTTCTTTCCTTAATATTTTGTTCCCTAACTCCAAAACATTGGATCTATATTTTAGTTCACCACGTCTTGGCCGTGAACTGCTCCATTAACAGCTTTGTCAAGTTTCAGATATTGCTTTCAGCCCCAGACGTCCCCCCCCCAACCCTGCCTTTATATCCCTGTTGTGCACTTGCTCCCAAGTGTGTGAACCAGGGCGACTGAACGTACTCCATGTACAGCTCTTGAAACGATGCAGTTGTTGTGTTTCAGCTACCCGAAAAACAGCTTCCTGCCAAACTCACCAAGAAATACTTCTCTCTTGTTAGAAAAAAACGCAAACACAGGTTCATGTGAAGCGATCGCATCTTTCTGCTCATGCTGCCGGTGTCTCAAGTGGATCACGTTGCATCCGACTGGAACTGCAACACTATTGTATGATAAAGAAAAGGGAGAGTAGAGTACAGGCTGTAAACATCCCAGTACTTTATGTGAAAAAAAGAGTGTTTCCAGGAACTCCAGCGCTACTTTGTGACAAGTCACATTAAACAACACCATCGTCTTCAAGAGTAAATGGCAACGCAATGAAATCCAGGTGCATGTATTTTTTAAATATTTGTTTTAAAGAATGAGTGTGGACTTTATGAGGTCCGATTTACAGCCACCTTAAAGGCTGTTACGTGGCCCCATTCTTCAGTGCACACTTTGGATTGTCATCTGTAGCTGTTGATGCACCAATGATAGGTACGTTTCTAAGGTCTCTGTCTATCCACAGACCTCATGGAAGAGACCAACATATTTGCATGTTGTGTGTGGGGGTGTGTGCAGACAAGTGGTACCATTCTGTCAGTGCAAACACATGTGCACGGAGAAAAAAAGCTAATCTGA